ACGTTGTAAAGATCGGGAGTGTGTCGACGAGGGTTGCGTACCTTATACTCAGAATCACCAAACGCTGAAGGTCATACAGGTTTACGCACCAACCTCGACGCAGCCCGATGAGGAGGTGGAGGAAATGTATGAGGATATCTCTAGAGCAATGCATTCCTCCAAAACCCAATATATGGTGTTAATGGGAGACTTCAATGCAAAACTAGGAACAAGAGAGAACGGTAAGCTGAAAGTAGGGAAATTTGGAATAGGGCAACGAAAACCAAGGAGCCAGCAGCTGGCCGACTTCATGGAGATAGAGGGACTGTTTATGATGAACTCTTTCTTCCAGAAGAGGCCCCACAGGAAGTGGACCTGGTCGAGCCCCGACGGTTCGACAAAAAATGAGATTGACTTTATTATGACGACCAGACGACAACTGTTCAGTGATGTCTCAGTGATCGCGAGGGTGAAAACTGGTAGCGATCACCGAATGGTTAGAGGCACACTGAACCTAAACGTTAAGTTGGAGAGGTCTCGTCTAATGAAGTCAATGCTCCGTCCCCCTCGTGCTCTGCTCCAAAGTCCCGAAACCTTTCAGCTCGAGTTACAAAACCGTTTTCAGTGCCTAGAAGACAGCAATGAAGTGGACGATATGAATGACAAGCTCGTGGAAACTGTCCATGCGGTCGAAGCTAAGTTCTGCAAGACCCGCCGCAGAAGAACACAAAAACTCTCCGATCACACTCTTAATCTCATGGCTGTTAGACGGAAGATGAAGCTACATTCTTCAACAGACTTGACAGCATACAGGTATCTCAACAGACAGATCTCCAAATGCATGCAGCGAGACTTACGCAACTTCAATACAGCTCGTATTGAAGAAGCGGTCGAGCGGAACCAAGGCTCCAAAGTCGTTGCCAAAGATCTGTCTGCCAGAAAGAGCCAACTGTCAAAGCTGAAGACAGAATGTGGCAGCATCGTTTCCGGGACACCTGAGATTTTGAGTGAGATTGACAGGTTCTATGGGCAGCTGTACACGTCATCGTTGGAGCCACACGCAAGTGTGAGTAACGATCCAAGAGCGAGTCTCATCCGACACTATTCCGAAGATATCCCGGACGTCAGTCTGAGCGAGATTAAAATGGCTCTCCAGCACCTTAAAAACGGTAAGGCCCCAGGCGAGGATGGAATTACAGCGGAGCTTCTGGAAGCGGGTGGAAAACCGGTACTTGAAGTCCTTCAGAAACTCTTTAATTCCGTCTTCCATGGTGGCATCACACCGGAGGCGTGGAGCAGAAGTGCGGTGGTCTTGTTCTTCAAGAAAGGTGACAACGCTCTCTTGAAGAACTACAGACCGATTTCCCTTCTGAGCCGCGTCTACGTGCTGTTTTCGAGAGTCATTACGAATCTTCTCGCGCGCAGACTTGACGACTTCCAGCCTCCCGAACAAGCCGGTTTCCGAAAGGGCTTTAGCACCATAGACCACATACATACCCTTCGGCAAATTGTACAGAAATCCGAAGAGTACAATTTGCCACTATGTCTGGCGTATGTGGACTATGAGAACGCCTTTGATTCCGTCGAAATTTGGGCGGTGCTGCAGTCCCTTCAGCGGTGCCAATTTGACTGTCGGTATATCGAAGTGTTGAAGTGTTTGTACAGTAGAGCTACAATGGCTATCCGAGTACAGAACCAGAGTACGAAACCTATCCAATTGCAGAGAGGTGTAAGACAGGGTGACGTCATATCCCCGAAACACTTCACCGCTGCATTGGAAGACGTTTTCAAGCTTCTGGACTGGAAAGGATACGGTATCAACATCAATGGCGAGTACATCACTCACCTTCGATTTGCCGACGATATAGTCCTTATGGCAAAATCGCTGGAGGACCTAAGCACTATGCTCAATGACCTCAATAGTGTCTCCCAACGGATAGGTCTTAAGATGAACATGGACAAAACAAAGATTATGTTTAATGTCCATGTCACATCTATGCCGGTAGTTGTTGGGAGCACTAAGCTCGAAGTTGTTGACGAGTATGTTTACCTGGGACAAATAGTCCCACTTAGACCGAGAGGTCAATCGACGGATTCAACTCGGCTGGGCAGCGTTCGGGAAGCTACGACAAATTTTCTCGTCAGACATACCTCAAAACCTTAAAACGAAATTGTACAACCAGTGCGTGTTGCCAGTGATGACTTACGGAACTGAGACGTGGTCCTTCACAGCTGGCCGTATGAGGAAGCTCAAGGTCGCTCAGCGAGCTATGGAGAGGGCTATGCTCGGAGTTTCTCTGCGTGATAAACTTAGAAATGAGGATATCCGCAGTAGAACTGGAGTAACCGACATAACCCAACGGATTAGTAAGCTGAAGTAGCAGTGGGCCGGCCATATAGCTCGAAAAACCGACAACCGATGGGGAAGAAAGGTTCTCGAGTGGCAGCCTCGTACCGGTAGGCGAAGTGTAGGGCGACCGCCCACGAGATGGAGTGACGACCTGGTAAGGCATGCAGGAAGTCGATGGATGCAGGTGGATCAGGACCGCGCTTTGTGGCATTCCTTGGGGGAGGCCTATGTTCAGCAGTGGACTTATGAAAGGCTGTAATGATGATGATGATGATGGACATGAGCTCTTCCTGTTGCACAGAGGAAGTGCTATAAAACCATGCTTTGCAGGCGAATTGCTGACCGAAGAACCAGAAGTTTTTAATAAAATCGAGAGAGTTTTTACAGTCTTAAAATATTTTTTAATAAAATAAAATGTATCGTAAGAGTATTTTGCATAAATAACTTCTATTTTAGTAGTTTCTATATAAAAACATTTGTTAATTCAATATAATACACATAACATAGTTACATATAATATAAAATTTTATTTGTGTGTGTTCGTGTGTGTGTGTGTGAGTGTGTGTGCGCGTGTGTGTGTGTGTGTGCGTGTGTGTGTGTGTGTGTGTGTGTGTGTGTGTGTGTGTGTGTAAACTAAAAAATAAAGATATATATTTTTTCAATCAAGCGCGGAAATTAATAAATTAAATTCCATGCGCTAAAATAAAAACGTTGCTGAACACAACCTATGATATCAACTGGCAGGACAACGTTTTCCGGGTTCAACTATTATATTGTTAAAGTATCTATCTCCCTTTCCTGTGGATATGAATATTCTTATTGTCTCAGACAGATAGCTGAATAAGCATTTCGATGCAGATAGTACCAAGTAATATATTATGGTTGCAAATGGTGTTTCTTATAGTATATAAACATACATTTGGATGTGTCAACAGCCGATCTGACGTTGGCTAAGTGATAGGACTCCTTCTCTGCCTAGGCCTCCGTCTGGCTAGGTATCAATTTCTTACCTGTTTCTGCTACCAAATAGCAGTGTTTGCAGTTGCTTGCTGTTTCCCGGTCAGCTTTAATAACAGGGTGTAAAGCATACCATCTTAGTCCTCCGACTAGACAGCGTATCTGTAACCTGCTTCGTCTTAATTTGTCTGCAGGTGTCCGTGGACTGCAGTAGCCACTTTTTTATAGGATAGGGTGACAAACGAGCACACAGTCCACCTGATGGTAAGTGGTTGCTGTGGCCCATAGACATCTACATCTATCCTCGTTTGCAAATCAAAATGCAGATGCGTTGTCACCCGTGGGGACTAAGACGGAATGCTTTTTATCCAGTAAAATGGGACTCCAGTTCTCTGCACTCACCATGCGAAACACAGCAGTGTTAAGCGGCTATTTTACGCTGGTATTCTGTGAGAGCGTAGTCCTTCCCCGGTCGAGCCGACCCATTCGTGCTACAACTATATTACTAATATAGCTGCAGCATGGCTCTACCACGTATAAAATTTATCTTACCATCAGGCAGACTATACTGTTCAGCACTTTCGTTTTTAAAAAAATGTCTTTCTGTGGTACTCGTGAATGCTGAACTCAATTCAGCATTCTCGAGTGGATTTGCCACCGCTTTTCTGTGCACCGTACATATTATATAGACTTATAGAGACTACAACTTGTGACCAGTCAATAAAGGTTTTTCATCAGTCAAAACTTTATTGACTGGATAATTTTTTAAATACAAAAATAGATTTAGGTTGTTAATTTTAGGAGGATGTATCTGACAACCGGATGAATTAATGTTCAAGCGTATTATTTTGGATTTGTCGATTTCGATAAGTAATTAGGAGCTTAGTGATTTTTTTGCATATATCTCATGTTATTGTAAACAAAGCCTATTCTTTATTATCTTATAGCATGTAGTGGATTAAAAGAGGCTGTTAGAAGAACAGGGAAATATGTCATATGTTGTCTTTTAAATAGTATTTTACGCGCACAAAAAAAATTGCTAGTAGAGGCGGTGTAAGAATATCCACTACCCCATATCATCCCGTGGGTGTCGTAAGCAGTGACAGAGGGAAATAAAACAGAAGATGGGCAGCAGCGTCTTCCTAATAACAACTAATAATAAAAAATTGCGGTTGCCAACCCGCCTGCCAAGCGTGGCAGCTATTTTTTTTTAATAGTATAAGGGTGACAAACGAGCACACAGTCCACCAGATGGTAAGTGGTTGCTGCGGCCCATAGACATCTACATCTATCCTCGTTTGCGAATCAAAATGCAGATGAGTTGTCACCCGTGAGGACTAAGATGTAATGCCTCATTTCCAGTAAAAAGGGCCTCCGGCCACCTGCACTCACCAAACGAAACGCAGAGGTAAACCTCTACTTCACGCTATTCTGTGAGGTCGTGGTACCACCCCGGTTCGAGCCGGCCCATCCGTGCGACAGCAAAAGCTGCCGCGTGGCTCTACCACTGTTAAGAAGCTATGACAAATATCCCCCCTATGAGCCAAACTATACGCGAGGCTTATGTTCAGCAGTGGATTTTTAATAGGCTCTAACGGTAACGGTTCCGCTACTAATAAAACTACTGATTCGATTGTATTAAAAGAATTTATTTTCTTTCATTGATTTATTTAACGTATTTACATAATTTATTCTTTAATTTAATGAATTTCAGATACGACAGCGGTGATGGCACTTCACGATCAGAGCAGGGTTCAATATTAAATCCTGGTACGCCGGACGCGGCCCTCAATGTTCTTGGTACAGTTCGTTGGTTCGATGACAAGGGGCAACTTTACGAAATGACATATACAGCGGGTAAACGAGGATACCGCACAAGTATAAAGATTATTTCTTAATAAGAAATGTATTAGGTATCATAAATTAATTGACGAGACTGTGAAAATAATTTATTTTAAATGTGTAGTAATAATTATTGCAGATAAGCAAAAATAATTTATTTTATAATTTAAGTTGTCTCAATAAGGAATATTATAAATATATTTATTTTATTTCACTTTGTTTTGATTTCATTTTAATTCTAAAACCTTAAAATATTGATTGAATAATGTAACAAAGTTCTTTTTACATAATAGATACATAATATCTAACACATTGACAAAGTTAAACTCATTTTAGTCTGGTAATAAGGTTTTCCCATAGTTATATATATAGGCAATAAGAATAATGTAAAATATAAGTACCTATTTGTAGTAATATAATAAGGAGAAAAGCCTCAACCAAAAAAAAATAAAAAAAAACAATAAAAGTCTTTAAATTAAAAGAAAAATACAAAAATAGGGCTTTCGCACATGTTATGAATAATTAAATATAACGTTTTTGAGCTGAATATTGCACGAATCAGTGAAAATACTACGTAAATTTTGTTCGTCTGTTTTTTGTGAATGTTAACGCCCCTCCCTCATTTCATGATATTTGGAAATCAAAAAGGCACAAAATACGGTTTATTCCACTTTTTCCCACCCATTTGGTGGGAAAAAGTGGACTCTATAAAATGTGTTCGTCTACTTTTCCCCACAAGGGCTGGCATAAGCAAATTCTAAGATCTTGAAATGAAAATGTTCGGATATTTTAAAAGATAATGATAATAATCTTAAAATAGCTATAGAAAAAATTCTAAATGCCTGGGCTCAAGCTACTTTGCTCTTACTTTACTTTACTCTGTCCCAGCGATAATGTTCCACTGGAAGTTAACCAACAAAAACAGTGGGATATTCCGTTGGTACAGAGCGTGCAGAAAGATTTGTTTCATAATTTCTATAGTGACCAAGATAAGGCACGTATTCTAGCTGTTTCGAGTAAGGAATCCAGTCACTGGTTAAACGCTTTACCATCAAGTAATCTCGGCACATGATGGGGAAAGCTTTCGCATTGTTTGTTTTGCTTGATTTTTCAAAATGCCAAAATCACATACTATTTTCACACGCAATAACTGGCAGCGGAGGGGTAAAATAAAAGTTATAAATTTTTTTTAAACGTTACCCCCACACTGGGATTTTCTCCTGTATCGTGGAGGCAGTTTACAAACATAAATTGCATAAGGACAAACATCCAGTCCCGCGACAATTATTTGTAGGCCATACAAATACTTGTTCCGTGCGGGATTCTAACCCGCGGCCCCCAGCGCAACAACTCATTGCTAAGCCACTGCGCCACGGAGCCGCGGGTTATAAATTGGTGTAAATTGTTTAAGAAAGAAGATATAGTTAATAGTGTTGAAATTTTTAAAGACTCTACTCTACAATCTGTACTCACTGAAGGAATTTGCTTCCTTCTTTCTGTATACGAAGCTCCAAATAAAGTTACCTGCTTAAATAAGTTTCAATACTTTCCTTTTATAAGAAATACTTATAACAAAAAACGAATGCAATTAGCTTGCTTGTTAAAAAACCCAACCTCTGCTTCCGCTCATCGACATCTATTTCGGGTATATTATCAAGTTCAAGTTTCGCTTGGTATTAAACTAGACCCAGAAGGCTGGGGTTAGATGTTCACTGATAATACATCAGATCCAATTCAGACTTTACTCCCACCACTACCGGAAAAGCCCTCAATCAAAAGTTGGATTGTTGTGTTCATTAGCATGTTCCAGTTGTCAAGACCAATCATGCTCCAATGCTGAATCGCCATTTCTAATGACATCAGGGAGAAGACATCTGATGCATCGCTCTCAGAACAATTTATACATGTAAACAGGAAGAGGAACATAAATAAAAAGAAGGAGAAAAAGGATAGATAAGATAAGATGATATATTTGTTAGAATATGGTACATTTAAGTTATTACAGAATAATCCAGATCCTAAATATTCTGCAGTTTCCTGCGTACAAATATTTTCAGACAGTTGTTGTTAGAATTTAATAGAAAACCAAGTCATTAATTATTATAGAATATAAATATACTTACAGCTATACTTAAGGAAACTAAGTAGCATCTATATAAAAACAAAAATTTCAATCAATTAATTCATAATATTTTTTAGTTAAAACATATCAATAAATTAAGCCGAGATTAATTTCAATAATTACAATTCAAGTCAAATTTATCATTTAAGAAGTTATTTTTAGAGTAATAACATTTATTTAAAAGAAATTGATATAATTTAACTACTTTTAAAGATTCCTATATTCATTTTTTTTAAACAAACAGGAAATTTATTGTAAACATGTATTGCCATACAATATACATTTTTTGAGTAAACTTGTATTCTTTCTTTGCTTTGGTACACACAATTTATGTATGTTTCTATTAGTCCTAATCATAACGTAGTTTTGTTTTTCAAATAAATTACTATTTTTGTGAACAGAGACACAAATTTCGTAAATGTACAATGCAGGAAGCGGCAATATTTTATGGTTGCGAAAAAGGGGCATGCAACTATCTAATTGGTAGGAGATATAACACTTGAAGTTCCATTAGATAATTATCAATCAGACGAATAGTTTTCCCCAATTACTCATAATTTACACAGTTTTCATAACTTCCAATAGCATTTTTTTTATTTGATTCAATATTTTTTAATTAAACACGACCACTATAGACTGTGGAATAGGTCTACCGGGGAAACCACGTTAAAAAAACGAGCCTCACAGGTGGCGTCGAAACTTTTTCAACGTTATGAATATATCTCACAAAAATAGATTCTTAGGGGAAAAAGGCCAAGATCTATTTTTATGAAAACATACCGTTTAGCTGAAAATACAAAAAACCCATATTTGCGAACTTTGACCTTGAATTTTCTTTTCTATGGGGACTTTTCACAGTTTATTTGTAATAGTGTTCCTAACATTTGCACCAATTTTTAGCTCTATAGGAATTATTATTACCTTACCCCTATTTTTTGAACTTGCCAGCACTAGTGGAGAAAAGTGGACGTAGTTTATTATAACAGTGTAATTTGTCCCACCAAGAAACGATTAGTGGGGAAAAGTAGATGAACACATTTTAAAGAGTGTACTTTGCCCCAGCAGTGTGATATTTGATGGAAAAAAGTGGAATAAACCCAAAATACATAGACTGTATTCTTCTCAATGAGTTCCAGACCATGACATCCTCAACATGCTAGGGTAAGAAAAAGTTTCGGCTTTTATTAAGAATTCATCATAATAGTTACAGCCTATCACAAGTCCGCTACTTAACATAGGCCTTCCCCAAGGAATACAATAGACCACGGTCCTTAGCGACTTGCATCTATCGACTTCCTGCATATCGTACCAGGTCGTCACTCCATCTAGTGGGAGTCCGCCTTATACTTTGCTTACAGTATGAGGCTGATCAAGAACCTTTCATCGTTTGTTGGTTCTTCGAGCTATCTGGTCAGCCCGTTGCCACTTTATCAGACTGATCTTTTGCGCTTTGTCGATTACGGTGTCGGTGCATATTTCCATTACGAAGTATATTGTACAGAAAAACTCTGAGCAAAGGCCTCACCATAGATCGCTGAGCGACCTTGAGCTTCCTGAAACTGCTTGAGTTCAGCGACCATGTCTCAAATATTTGTTCATCACGAGCAACACGCTCGTTTGTACTCTTATTTTTGAGCTTTTAGGTATACGTGATAAGAAAATGTGTCGTAATTTCCTGAACGATGCGCAACCGAATTGGATCCGTCGATTAAATTCTCGGTCGAAGTTAGACTTACCTAGTATTACAATTTATACTAGGAAACATACTAGTCAACAATTTCAAGCGTAGTGCTCCCAACAGCTACGGCATATGTGTGACATGGACGTTATACATTGACCTTTGTTTTGTCTATGATCATTTTAAAACCTATCCGTTGTGAGATACTTTTTTTCATAGGATCGGATGACAAACGAGCACACAGTCCACCTGATGGTAAGTGGTTGCTGCGGCCCATAGACATCTACATCTATCCTCGTTTGCAAATCAAAATGCGGATGCGTTGCGATCCTATAAAAAATATCTCAAAGTCAGTTATTCCATACAAAATTTCGTACGAACTTGCTCAAAATGTATGGAATACCTGATTTTGCTTGCGATTTCGAAGATAGATCTATAGTAAAATTTGTTCATATTGACACGTAGAATAGAAATATAAAGCACTATTTTGATTACACCATATATCTATATATAACTACGTTTTTAAATAATTTGTGAATATTAGTTAGACATTTAAATAAAAACATTAAACTGATAAAAAGGAGGCCTTATCATTTATATGTCATTTATTCAGAAGAAAAACTTATAGATAATATACACAAATATATTGCTACATTCGTTATTAATAAACTATTCATTTTTAAGTATTTCTGGAAAACATTCATAACTATGAACTTAACTACTAAGCCATAGCATAAAATAAATTTTCCCGTTAATCGGGTAATAGTTAAGCTGCTAGCATATACAATTTTTCAGGCACACTAGCATCTGGCAAATTGTCTTATACACACTACAATATTAAAATGCCCCATTCACGGAGCTGTTACATTCAGGTAGCGCGGTATCTAGTCAAAGCGCGCGATGACTTATCATTAATCTAAGTGGAAACACATATATTATCAATTTTTTTTATAAGATAAGGGTGATAAACGAGCACACAGTCCACCTGATGGTAAGTGGTTGCTGCGGCCCATAGACATCTACATCTATCCTCGTTTGCAAATCAAAATGCAGATGCGTTGCCACCCGTGAGGACTAAGATGGAATGCCTCATTTCCAGTAAAAAGGGCCTCCGGCCACCTGCACTCACCAAGCGAAACGCAGAGGTAAACCTCTACTTCACGCTGGTATTCTGTGAGGTCGTGGTACCACCCCGGTTCGAGCCGGCCCATCCGTGCGACAGCAAAAGCTGCCGCGTGGCTCTACCACTGTTAGAAATTTTACTCTGCTATTATGCTAGCCGGTCCCTCATTTCTCGGTAGGTAGCGTGATGAATTTCAGTTCGAATTCACTCCGACCTTTTTAAATGATTTGACTACAGCTATCGGATCCTAGGATAGCCATGAACTATTATTATAAATTTATTAACAAAGTTATATTTATGCTTAAATTTCATGTTTATTTTTGTAACATTTTCACAATATTTCTGTACTACCAACATTTAGTAAAAATTTAGAAAAAAAACATTTTTGATAGCATTAAATAAATATTTTTGGCATAAATAAATTGTTGCATAAAAATAAATTTGTTAAGGGGCTGCTCGACAAATGATATTGATGTTGAGCTAATTCGACATATTTTCTGTGCATGAGAGAACTCAGAAGATGCAATGGCAAAAATATACTTGGAGTATTTTTAGTTAACTTTTCAAGATCTTCGACTCTGTTTACTCTGTGATATTAATCAGGAAGCTACAGCATTATGGTGTAAAAAATGAATATTAAAAAAATTAAGTTTCCTGTTTAAGTAATAGAACAAATAAAGTTATTAACAATAGTCAAAACTCTTCCAGGTCCTCTATATTAATGATCGTTCCTCAGGGCTCAATTCTGGACTCATTCCTGTTCTTAGTCTATTAGAATAAAGAAGAAAGCATACGTCCGCGCCCGGGAACTTGCCGTTTTTAAGGTGCTGGAGAGCCATTCTAATCTCGCTCAGACTGACGTCCGGAATATCATCGGAATAGTGTCGGATAAGACTTGCTCTTGGATCATTACTCACACTTGCATGTGGCTCCAACGATGAGGTGTACAGCTGCCCATAGAATCTGTCAATCTCACTCAAAATCTCAGGTGTCTCGAAAACGATGCTGCCACATACGGTCTTCAGCTTCGACAGTTCGCTCTTTCTGGCAGACAGATCTCTGGCAGACATGGCAAGACATTGGAGCCCTAGTACCACTCGATTGCTTCTTCAATACGAACAGTATTAATGTTGCATAAGTCCGGCCGCATGCATTTGAAGGTCTGCCTGTTCCACTGCCTGTATGCTATCATGAGATTAAGAATGTGATCGGAGAAGTTTTGTGTTCTTCTGCGGCAGGTCTTGCAAAACTTAGCTCCGACCGTATGGACAGTTTCTACGAGCTTGTTATTTTAATCGTCCACTGCATTTCAATCTTCTAGGCACTGTAAACTATTTTGTAGCTCGATCTGAAAGGTTTCGGGACTTTAGATTAGAGCACCCCTCCGTTACCATGGTCGCCACCGTAGCCAGGAATAGCGGGGCCGCCGTGGACTGGGGGCTGTTTATTAGTATCATTGCTCATGGGGGGTATATTGCTACAGTTGCCACCCTGTTCCTATAAGAATAGGAACCTTTCACGCCAATGCCTTGGTGTTCACCCACGGTTATAAGCTAACATACTTCTTTTCGCTACACGCCGTCACTTGTCTTAAAACTGAAACTGAACTATATAAACAATGTAGTAATCGTGTAAGAGTATCTACTACCCTATATCATCCCGTGGATTTTGTAAGAGGCGACAGAGGGACACTGAACCAGGAGATGGGCTGCAGCGTCTTCCTAATAACAACAGAATATATCTATACGTGGTAGAGCCACGCTGCTGTAGCTATATTACTGGTATTGTTGTAGCACGAATGGGCTGGCATGACCAGGAAAGGACCACGCTCTCACTGAATACCAGCTTAAAATAGCAGCTTAAGGTTGCTGTGTTTCGTATGGTAAGTGTTGAGAACTGGGGATCCATTTTACTGGAAACGAGGCATTCCATCTTAGTCCTCACGAATGACAACGCATCTGCATTTTGATTCGTAGTCGAGGATAGATATAGATGTCTATGGGCAGTAGCAACCACTTACCATTAGGTGTACTGTGTGCTCGTTTGTCACCCTTATCCGATAAAAATAAAATAAATTGCGGTTGATTACCTGCTTGCCAGGCGTGACAATAATGACAAATATTCCTCATATGAGACCATTTATTGGAGAGGCTTACAAGCAGCAGTGGACTTTTGATAGTTTGTAAATGTAAAATTAATGAATATGTCTAGTATTTAACAGAAGAGCCTCTGGTGACCTTAAAATGGCTCAATATCTATTTGTTATCGATGAGACGCGCACTCGAACCAAACTTGTCTGTCGTGATGTGTACATCAAATGAGTGGAATGATTTATTGGCGTCTATCTTTCCATCCGATAACAATTTGGACGTCTTCCAGGCAATAGTGAATAGATTTTTGTTACGTGACAGTGCGATTTACGACCCTGAGCTTCAGTTTTGAAAATTTTCGTTTTCTTTCTTTGCAGAAAGTTTCTGAACTAGGAGATTCTTGATTTTATGAAGAGCTTATACACATATTTTCAAATAACAAATGTCAATTAATAGATTAGTAATCTTTATTCTATTCTAATCCAAATTAATTTACTTTTACAATGTTTTTTTTTTCAAAATACATAAAGTTATGATTAAGACAGCTTGTTGATTGATAGCTGCGGAGTGAATGACATTGCATCGTCTGTTCAAACTGTTAGTCCTGTAGACGCCATAGACAAAAACAGCCACATATGTCCAAATATAATCCAAATGGAACTTAATTTGCAAAATGCTTAAAAGCAATCAATAATATTAAAAACTATAATCATCATCATCATCATTACAGCCTTTTAAGTCCTCTGCTGAACATAGGCCTCCCCAAAGGAATACCACAAAGTACGGTCCTCAGCCACCTGCATCCATCGACTTCCTGCATGTCTTACCAGGTCGCCCTACACTTTGCCTACAGGTGGGGGGTCGCCCTACACTTCGCCTATCGGTACGAGGCTGCCACTCAAGAACCTTTCTTCCCCATCGGTTGTCGGTTCTTCGAGCTATATGGCCGGCCCACTACCACTTCAGCTTACTAATCCGTTGGGCTATGTCGGTTACTCTGGTTCTACTGCGGATATCCTCATTCCTAAGCTTATCACGCAGAGAAACTCCGAACATAGCCCTCTCCATAGCTCGCTGAGCGACCTTGAGCTTCCTCATACGGCCAGCAGTGAAGGACCATGTCTCAGATCCGTACGTCATCACTGGCAACACGCACTGAAACTAAAATAAAAAAAACTAAAACTAGTAACTTAATTCTCCCTCCTTAACTCCCCGCGGTATCGTGTCAAGAACGCCGGCTGCGTTTCCCCGCTGAATGGCTATACTTAGTTTTTGAGCGAGAAAAGAACCAGCCCTCTTATCACCAGAAGAAACGACTAGTCGCGGATGGAGTTCCTTTAGGAACTTCACCGCACGTTGACCCCACAGACCGATAGTCTCTACAGCAAATATGTAGTCATCTCTCAGAAACTCATATTTGCGCCACTTACTCAGTTCAACTGCCTCTGATGCCGCCCCGGCTCTAAACGAGGTACCCCTGAGATGAGAGGCTGCCAGAGTATCTACGTGAGTAGCATCCCACACTAGGACTTTACCTTAAAATAAATTATAACTTGCCAGTGCCTCATACAAAAAAGCAATTTTTTTACAAAACTTCTACGTGGTCTGTCGAAAAACAATTTCTTCTAGCCCCTACCAGATTCATAAATCCTTAAAGATTCTTTGTCTCATACAGATTCATCGTATATAGTGATAAGTCATTGAGAATATTATTGTGCCCTTCATGTTAAAAACCTCCACAACGATAACTGAAATTATGTGACACAACTGTACATCACCCAATAACTTCGTATGTATAGCACTTTTAGTAGGTAAGTTTTTCAGTAATTTCTACATGACAAGTGATACTATTTTTTTAAAGTATAAGGCAATAATTAGTCATTAAATCATGACACAGTTCATAGCCAAAAATATAGGCATTGTGAAGTAATTCTAGCTTAAGTAGTCTGTATGCCAGAATCCTCCCTAAGGCACATGAATAACTCCATTTTCATTGGAACGATACGTTTTAAACTCGGTGTATAAAGTCACCAATCAGTAATTAATTTGAAAATGAAATAATTTCCATGGACCATACAATACTAGCGTTTTCAAGGGGAGGCTGCTAGCTTGAATTTAACATAAAATTTACCTCCAAAAGCACTTGTAGTTGCCAAAGTATTAAGTCACTATTAAATCATGGCATTAGTAAAATTCAAAATATCTTTGGGAAGAGTTCTGTTTTGGAGGATCTTACTGACAGTCAGTAAGTAAGTTCATACTTTATACACGTTGTCACCTCTGAGCACTAAGGTAGAATGTCTCATAGCCTATACAGCAGTGTAAGCACTGCTACCAAGATGGACTCCAAGACAGAAAAGGCGCTGTCGCCGCGCCACAACCTAAACAAACCGAAACCTTAACCACGCTATCAAAGTTCCGAAGTGATCCAGTCTATATAGAATAACACTATACTACCTCGTGGGAGCGTTGGCCACTTCCTGGACTGAACAAATTGCCTGACGAGAGATCTACCCTTTTCCTCCACGGCGAAATTGGAAAACAACCGACGTGATGAGAAAACACAACCTGCGACCTTCGAAAACTTCAACTTTAAGCTCTCGTTATCATTCTCAAAAATCTTTCCCATTCGAAAACAAGAATTCAACGTCATTATTTACAAACGTAAAGGCGGAACATGGACTTATCAACTAACAAATAGTAACAAGAACAGTGTTATTATAAAAACAACTTTAATGTTAACATGTTTCTAAATTATACATATATAGACATTTTTCTACAATTAGCACTGTGAACAATTTTACAAACCTACACATTAAATTTGTACTTTTGCCCTTATTTACATTTTTCTCGGTTAAGACTAGAGGGAAGATTTCCTCTAGTCTTACTATTACTATGTAAAATTATAAACTGTTAAACTAGATAGTTAGCTTATAATTTTATATTTGGTTTCAGCAAAGCGCATAGCACGCTGATATTTCAACGTTAGTTCTATTAGGATTGAGTGGGTTTGTTTTCTTGATTCGCATTCTCCTCTGTGGGCTGATAACCGTTCTTGTCGGCGACGAATGTGACTTGGATGTGTTGACCGTCAGGGGCGACGTACTTATAACTGCCCTTTACAGAGAGACCTTGTTGTTCAGTGTCATTTTTGTAATCTCCTTGCTCTTGCCTATATGTACCGTCACTTGTTTCAAATCTGTTAAAATAACATCAAGTAAATACCGAGGAAGAGATATAATATAGTATAGTTAAATTAATATTGTATAGATGATATGTAGGTATACATTGAAATACTTGAAAATTATTTACAGTGTCTATAATATTTTACTCCAGCTGAATATATATTTATAATTCTACAAAATATAATTGCACATTTGAAATACAACATAAAAAAATAACAAAATCTTAAATAAAATATTAATTAAAAAAACGATAAATACTCCAAATTTTACAAGATAATATTGTCATAAAAGAAATAAAAGTCACAATAACAACCTTATCAATATCAGGTCTTTCTTGTTGATATTTTAATGGAATAAATTAACTATTTCTATCAAGTTTAATACAAAGTAATCAATTTGAACGTAACTACAAAAAATTTAAATCTTTTAAAAGTAACGTAATTCAATTAAAATATTCACCTTTTTCAACATTATTTCTGACCATTAATAGGCGAAGGCTCCGTGGTACAGGGGCTGAGCATTGAGTTGCGACGCCAAGGGCCGCGGGCTCAAGTCCCGCAAGGAACAAGTATTTTATGACCCACAAATAATTGTTCCAGATCTGTATGTCTTCCTTGTGCAATTTATGCATGTATGCTTTACGTGGTAGAGCCATGCTGCAGCTATACTAGTAGTATATTTGTAGCACGAATGGGTCTGCTCGACCGGGGAAGGACCACGCTCTCACAGAATACCAGCGTAAAATAGCAGCTTACACTGCTGTATTTCGTATGGTACGTGTAGAGAACCGGAGACTCTTTTTACTGGAAAAGAGGCATTCCATCTTAGTCCTCACGGTATCTGCCTTCACGATTCAAGACTGTAATATTGATAACTGTTTTGAAAAAGATCTTTAAATGTTATGTATACAAAACAAAATCGTCTTGATAGATGATTGTCAAATCTCACATTTAACTACTGCGTAAGTAGGACTCGTCACCATTTGTTTTGAAACACAAGCGGTCGTTTAGTACTTAGTCAATAACATACTGCTACTAAATAATACGACCTTACAAATAAAACTGTTAATGTGCAATTCAGTCACAAGCTAACAGATTTAGTACATTTATATTTGGGTAAAATGCATTTTCTATAACTTTTAATATCACCAAAGTATATTCAATTATTTAAAGATTAAGAATGACTTAGAAAACTAACGTACATCTTAAATAATTGTAATTTCAATAATTTAATATATGCAAAGGGAATTACATGGTTCTGTCAACAAATTATTTAAACATAGTATTTTCCTTTCGTATATTAAAGTTATCCTTTCCAAAGTTCACTGTTGAACATAGTCCTCGCTGCTAAACCAGCTCTTAAAATTGCAATTACAAATTTTATTAGTAGCGGCGAGGATCGAACCTTTGTGCTACCATATTATAAATGCTTAATTGTTGTATGGCGGCGGAGTAACAGAAATAAGTATTGATTCGCGATTGAGGGAGGGTGGGAGGTCCCCTTAAGACTGGGCAGGACACATCATTTTCTTTCTTTACGCGGAATTAAGCAAATTAGTTTATAACAACCCCATTATTTGGTTCCGTTAATATGGAAATTATATGGAAAATTAAATTAAACTGTAAGTTAAAATTAAAGTTAATAAGGCATAATATCGAAAATATAGAAGCTCCAAGAACATATTACCGTAGTCTGAGACTAAGGTAATTTGTATGTAAATCGATTATATACGTAAATATTATATAAAATACTGCAAGCATAATGTCCCCTAGACCGAATTTCGGTCACGATGGCCAGTCTCAACGGATACTAGTCATTTGCTCAGGACAAGATTATAATTTACGAGTATGTGCGTAACAGCTGCACTCTCTATTCCCTCACTCCCGTAGTCAGAAGTTACGGCAAACGACCGGAGGGAGATTAGGCGCAGGACCAATGGCTTTACGTGCTTTCCGAGGCACCGAGATAAAACATCGCCAACTTCCTGACCCCGGATCGCTACTTAGGAATTCTTGACAGAAAAATCCAATATATCATTTCTGTCCCGGTCCAGGATTCGGCTCCGACACCTCATGAACAGCTGACGCGCTTACGACAACTCGATCAACGAGGAGGGCGTGGAATCATAATAAGTACACGACTATTAAATTACACTAGAATATTTTCACTCACTCAAAATTGTATCCATTGACGTTGATTTCTGAATCCTGTTTTACGATTTCCACGGGTGATTTCGCCTGGTTATGCTCCTGTGGCAATGCACAAGCTAACGCCAAAGCGGCCAAAGCGAAAAACATCTGTACATACAAAACACTTAAATAATATACAAAAATTTTAGTGATATTTAGTTGAAATATTAAAATATTGTGTGTTGAAGTTGTTGTTTATGCTATTAAAAATCTGAGTATAAATCAAAATCTGATATTATAGAAATTGTAAGTTTTTTTTTTATACCAATAAAGGTAACAAATTGGCAAAGTCCACCTCTTGGTTAAGTGGACGCTGTCATTCATACCTAGTCAGGTCATAAGTATTGTCACACAGTAAAAACTTTTCTTTTAGAATGCTGGCCACAAAAACGTTTATTGAATTCGAATTTCGAATTGTTCATGAAAATAAAACTGTATAATTTTTAGAATATTACTCATTTTTAAATATGGAGTGGACGCTTAAAGAAGACCGTGTTGCAGTTATTGCGTTGCATCGTTGCGGTTACGCGCCAATTCAAATTTTTTACATACTGAAAAATTTGAATATAACCAAAAGATTCGTTTATCGTACCATCAAACGATACAATGAAGACTCTAGTGTAGATGACAGGTCAAGAAGTGGTCGCCCTCGGTCTGTTAGGACTCCAGCAGTGATAAAAGCTGTGAAGGCGCGAATTCAAAGAAATCCCAAACGTAAACAGAAACTGTTGGCCCTTCAGATGGGGTTAAGCAGAACCACGGTGAAAAGGTTGTTAAATGAAGACTTAGGGCTTCGGGCATATCGAAGAAAAACAGGATATCGTTTGAATGCTCGTCTAATGGACATAAGACTGAAGAGATGCCGCGCTTTGTTGAAGCGGTACGCGGGAAAAAAATATCGGGAAATTCTTTTTTCGGATGAAAAAAATTTTTACCGTAGAAGAGAGCTACAACAAACAAAATGATAAGGTGTATGTTGGTGTAAGGTTGGGGCTTAATAGAGGTACATTTTTGTGAGAAAGGTGTAAAAACGAATGCAGTTGTGTATCAAAATACAGTCCTGACGAACCTTGTGGAACCTGTTTCTCATACCATGTTCAATAACAGGCACTGGGTATTCCAGCAAGATTCGGCGCCAGCTCATAGAGCGAAGAGCACACAAGACTGGCTGGCGGCGCGTGCAATCGACTTCATCCGGCACGAAGACTGGCCCTCCTCCAGTCCAGATTTGAATCCGTTAGATTACAAGATATGGCAACACTTGGAGGAAAAGGCGTGCTCAAAGCCTCATCCCAATTTGGAGTCATTTAAGACATCCTTGATTAAGGCAGCCGCCGATATTGACATGGACCTCGTTCGTGCTGCGATAGAAGACCGGCCGCGCAGATTGAAGGCCTGTATTCAAAATCACGGAGGTCATTTTGAATAAACTTTAGTGTCATAAGAATTTACGTTTTGTTAAGTTCATTTTGGTATATAAATGGTTACATAATGAATAAACTTGTTTCAATTATTTCATATTAAACATGTGACAGAATTTATGACCTGACTAGGTATATACCTACTCATACATCTATCCTCGATTAAAAACTAACAGTATTAGTGCTTCTTAACGCTATTATTTTGTGGAAAGTTTTTTTTAAATATAAGGATTAGTAGAACTAAATTGTTGGAATGTTAAATCACTTGCTTGTGCCGGGAAAGAATTAAATGTAAAAAAAAGCGTTAATTCTATGGTGGCAATTTATACGGTCATTAATAAATCGCTAGTACTGTATTTAAAAAAAAATCCATTATAAATGTATAGCATATTCTTTAAATAAATTGTTAGTCGCTTTTTTACTAGCAATGAAAACAATTATTACATATTTTTAGTATTCAGTTAGCTTAGAAGTTAGCTTGCTAAATATCATTTATCTTAAAGTAATAAGAGTAGACACTACTTACAATTTTCATCATTTTGATGTTTTCGAGAGTTTTCAAAGAATTGATGTCGGTAGGTTGACGAGACCTGAACGTCTACGCCCTGAAGCGAACACAGTGAGCTATAAATATGAAGTCGATGTATTGACAAGGTAATGTTTCGAAGTTTCTTGACAAGCGAGGTGTTAATCATAATCATACAAACAGTTTATTTAAGGTGATCCACGAAAACGTTACGGAGATTTGTCAACTGTGTACATCGTTTACATGAACCGAGTCGCACGTGCTTCACTCAACCTAAATATTTTGCCGTTTTAAACTGTAAGGACCTTACTCAAAGTTATTAATATGTCTATTATAACAAACCGATCTTATACCAAACTATCACTCTATTTTATACATATTACGTGGTATATTTACGTGTAGAGCCACGCTGCAGCTATATTAGTAGTATAGTTGTAGCACGAATGGGTCGACTCAACCGGGGAATGACCACGCGCTCACAGAATACCAGCGTAAAATAGCAGCTTAACACAGCTGTGTTTCGTATGGTGAGTGTAGAGAACCGGAGACCCTTTTTACTGGAAAAGAGGCATTCCATCTTAGTCGTCACATCAGATTCGCAGGCGAGGATAAATGTAGATGTCTATGGAGTACAGCAACCACTTACCATCAGGTGGACTGTGTGCTCTTTTGTCACCCTACCCTATAAAAAAGTATTAACATGCAAAAAGTGTTTATTGCACGCTCCCTGGCGTTTAACACCATAACACCTATCTAAGAGCCATCGCGTACTAATCATAAACCCTTTACAAAAAACCTATCTAAACCGGTCAACAGAAACATTTATTTGCACACACAGACAACTTCTGGCTCTAAACGCATATACCATCTCCGTTCTGTCGTGGGTAAAAGTAGGCGTCAATTAAAGAAATACTTAGAGTTGCTGTCAATTTTTCTCTAAATGACAACAGAAAGAGACAGGTATAGAGATAATCAATACTTCATATAAGTATGTGGTAATCAACCGCACATTTGTACTCGTTAGAAAAAAAATTACAAGGATACAATTAATTATAAATTTATTATATTTTTAATTAATTATAAATGAACGAGCAACGTGGAAGCTGCTGTCTCGCTACGCGGTAGAGTTACTTAGCTTATTCTATAAGAAAAAAAAAAAAAGAATAAAAAGCTAATTGATGACTAGATGTAACTAGAAACAATACATAGAGGTTTCTTTCACTGCCAAACACGTGATGCCAACGGGGACACTGAGGTAGGGAGACCTCAGACTGTATGCGTAAAATAAAATTTACGGAAAACGTTAGCCCCTGAGCTAACACGTTTTACCTTAACCCAATATCTCAAAGAACTCTTATATCAATCTAAATCCGATTATTGATGGCAAGGTTTGAAGTAACTTTCTATGCTTACTCACCCGCTTTCTCAGTGTATTTACATTTGTAACATTTTATGTAATGTTTTCCCCTGCAGAATAGGCAAAGGTATGTAAACTCATACAGCCGGGAAAATGATCAAAGTGTTTGCATTTATTTGATTAGAGCATTTAATATGGAAAAATAATATGTGTATGTTCACTTTATTTTACCTACCTAAACAAAAACATATACCTACTATATGTGATATTAATATGTGATACATAGATGTTTTAAAGTATTATGAATTATGGATATTTATTTAAAAAACACCAAAAACTTATAATTAATAGAATCAGGCGTTACTTTGCGGAAATCCATTATATAAAAGCTTTTAGAAAAAATTACTTCGCAAATATCCGTGTTATAAAATAAAATGATGTGTCTTACCTAGTATGAAGAGCACCTCCCGCCCTCCCTCAATTGCGTGCACTATCCCCGTCACCACTAATCCCAGCACCGCTACTCCCAACACCACTACACTAGGCAAGACACACCACTGACGATAATACGACACTTGTCACTATTAATGCGTTTTGATATATAAGTTACTCGATATTAGCGGTTAGCCACCGTAGAATCTATATCACCTGAGGATGCCTCGTATAGAGGCAAAACACGTGTCGTATTATCGTCAATGGTGTGTCTTGCCTAGTGTAGTGGTGTTGGGAGTAGCGGTGCTAGGATTAGTGGTGACGAGGATAGTGCACGCAATTGATGGAGGGCGGGAGGTGCTCTTCATACTAGGTAAGACACATCATTTTATTTTATAACGCGGATATTTGCGAAGTAAATTTTTCTAAAAGCTTTTATCAAAAATGTAGTCAAAGAGCTCATCCCGAATCGTTCCAGGCTCAAACTCGCCCATTAAACTAGCCACAATACCACGTTGTATGGCTTGTGAAATACCTTGAGCCAAAAACGATCCAAACCAGGCATCGTAGTCTCTCAAGTTTTTTGAATCTGCCTTAATAAAATTTAAGACATCGTGGCCAAGTCTATATAGCTTACAGCTATACATAAACTGTCATTGTCTAGATAGTTGATATGTTAATTGATGCAGGTTTGTTTAGATAAAGTTTGGTATACTCAACGACACAAAATTGATGGAACTGAAAAAATCTTAATGGACGGAGTATATGAATAGTCACAGCATACATTGAGTCATAAGCTACGGATTCAAGCCTTTTGCCAGCCTTTAGCAGTGAAGTGATACATGTATCCTTAAGGAAGATTGAGGTAATTACTACGCTACTCAGGCAAGTTAACGATCTCTATATAGTAGTTCTCTCATAGTCGGCTTTAAAGTATTATATTTGTGATAATGAAATGTCGGGAAGGCTGATAACTCAGAAGACTAATTGTGCATTGTATGCACTTGTCCAATTTTATTTACCTCGTTCTTTTGTTTCGGTCATTGATATGAGTACATAAACATTTTTCAGACATTTCTTTAGTCATATATGTATTGGATGCTTTTACATCCCCGTCACCTGGCCACTCTTGTAAAATATCATTGATTGTTGCCAGTATATAGATGTATACTTGAAAATAGCACTCAAAACGGTTAATTAGATTTCGATAAGTACTACTACTTACTTAACAAAATCTGATGAAACGTTTTTTAAAAGTGTCTGTGTGCCTGTGCCTTTGACCTTATTTTTACAGTATGTAATCTTATATAATCTATATTCTAAATATTGGCTGAACCATTAGTAATTTTAACTGTAATCAAACAACGACCATATTGAACAACATGTTTTATTATTTAATTTATTGATTTGAATCCGTCGATTGACCTCTCGGTCGAAGTTAGACTTACTTAATCGGACTACTTAACCCAGGTAAACATACTCGTCAAAACTTCGTTCATATTGCTCCCAACAACCACCGCCATAGATGGGATACGGACGTTACACATGATTGAGAGGCACTATTGAGTTCATTGAGTATAGTGTTTGGTCCTCCAGTAATTCTGCCATAAGGACTATGTCGTCAGCAAATTGAAGGTGAGTGATGTACTGGCCATTGATCTTAAGCAGCGGTGAAAACTTTCAGGAACTTCTGCAGTTGGATAGGTTTCATATTCTGGTTCTGTACTCGAATAACCATCGTAGTCCTACTGTACAAACACGTCAGCACTTCGATATACCGACATTCAACTTGGCATCGCTGAAAGGATTGCAGCACCGCTCAAATTTCAATTTCAAGACAGGTGGTTGATTGTACTCTTCGGTCTTCTGTACAATTTGGCGAAGAGTATGTATATGGTCTTTGGTGCTAAAGCCTTTTTAGAAACCGGCTTGTTCTAGAGGCTGGAAGTCGTCAAGTCTGCGCGCGAGACGATTCGTAATGACTCTTGAAAACAGCACGTAGACTCGGCTCAGAAGGGAAAAAAACGGTCTGTAGTTCTTCAAGAGAGTGTTGTCACTGTTCTTGAAGAACAAGACCAATGCACTTCTGCTGCACGCCACCGGAGTAGTGACACCATAAAGGACAGAATTAAGAAGCTCCGCAGGAATTTTATGCTAGCCCGGGTTTAAGGTTCTCTCCAGGACCTTAAAACCGGCAAGGTGGATTCTAGTCTCGCTCAGACTGACGTCCGGGATGTCATCGGGATAGTGACGGATGAAACTTCCTCTTGGATTATTACTCACACTTGTGTGTGGCTCGATACAGCTGCCCATATAGCCTCTCAATCTCACTGAAAATCTCAGGTGTCCGGGACACGACAACGACACTGCCGCATTCGGTCTTCAGCGGAACCAAGCCTCAAAAACCTCTGGCAGACAGATCTCTGGCAAAGGCTTTTGAGGCTTGGTTCCGCTCGATCACTTCTTCAATACAAGCTGTATGAAAGTTGAATAAGTCCCGCCGCGTGTATTTGGAGATCTGTCTTGATAAATTAAGTATTTGATAAATTTTTTGAACCTATCTCGGAATGATAGAGAACGAATAAAACGATTTTAAACTTTTCTTATCTCTCTTTGTATTTAATTTCAAAAATTCTACATTTATATTAAACAGAAAAACAACAAATAGCAGTTAATGAACAGAAGAACAATTATTTAAGACGTAAACAATTTGTTTTTTTTATACGTACAATGAAACGCAATTCCTAGAGATTCATTGTAATCTATGATTCTCGGTTTTTTGTCTAGGATTCCACGTACATAAAAAAGCAAAGTTTAACAAAGATTTCAATCTTGGTATTGTGATACTCATCAAAGAGTTAATGTCAAGGTTGCCGTCGATGTAAATAATACGAAACGAATACTTGATTATAGGTTTTGAGTGATTATATATATATATTATTTGGTAATTTGAAACTTATGCTTATAAAGCTTTTAAATAATAAGGTGATTTTATCTTAGTTAAAGATATAAATGCTTATTAAGAAAACATCTGAGAGTTATTAAACGTAAATCAATAGGCATTGTATTACTTCATAAATTACTTTCGTGTTGATTCTATGTCATGTGACCCGATGTTTCATAGTATGCGAATAATGTCCGATGTCAATATTGATATTATAAATGGGAATGTTAAAATGCTGATGTAGTACGTAATCAGCGGTGATAGAAAACATCTTGAGGAATTCTGCGTATATAAAAATCATTTTTTTTATATAAATGGTTGACAAATGAGTACAGAGCCCACCTGATAGTAAGTGGATGCCGTGGCTCATAGACATCTACATCTATCCTCTATTAAGAATCTAAATACAGATACGTTGTCACCCCTGAGGACTACAATGGGATGCCTATATCCAGTGAAAAGGGTCTCCGGTTCTCAACACTCACCATACGAAACAAAGTATCATTAAGCTGCTATTTAACGCTGGTATTCTATGAGAGCTGGGGAAGGAGAAACCTTCCCCAGTCGAGCCGACCCATTCATGCAACAACTACAATATAGCTGTAGCATGGCTCTACCAAGTAAAAAATATAAAACGGCAAGTTCCGGTTCACTCACTCACCGATTCATCAGCGCCCAGCCCGAACTCGAACAGAGGCTTTTTTTTATAGGATCGGGTGACAACCCAGCACACAGTCCACCTGATGGTAAGTGGTTACTGTGACCCATAGACATCTACATCTATCCTCAATAAAGACTCAAGATGCAGATGCGTTGTCACCCATGAGGACTAAGATGGAATGCCTCTTTGCCACTAAAAAGTTTCTCCGGTCCTCTACAGCGTTAAGCTGCTATTTTACGCTGATTTTCTGTGAGAGCGTGGTCCTTCCCCGTTCGAGCCGACCCATTCGTGCTACAACCATAATATAGCTGCAGCATGGCTCTACCATGGCTCCTTTTATAATGTAGATAGAATAAGGAAAGATTTTTCGAAATTCCCCGTGATCAGGAATAAAAAGGAATTACCTTTTTGTTTTAAAGTTGCCATATTTCCGTAACTATAATTATTTAAGACTTACAATTGGCAGGTAAGTAGGTGATTGTAGTCACTAATAACGAATTTCAGTATTTTTCGAAATTTCCATGGATAGGGGATATAGAGGATATATAGTTTCGCTTTAATATTGCTTTAATAACCCAGTCCATACATAATAGTATTATTAGTCTATGGGTAGCCCACATAGTGTAGGTTGGTACACCTAAAAAAAAGTATAGTTTCTTCGGGAGAAATTATAAACAAAATTGCTGTAATTTCCCACTCCACGCGAGCGAAGTCACGGGCTAGGTTTGAATATATTTTAACAACAAGCTTTGGGATAGCGTGGCTGACTTTTTCTTTCTCCAAATATCCTCTCGATAATGAGATGCAGCCTCTGGACAAACGTATATAACTCTGGTAAAACCGTATTATAACATATCGTAAGATAAGACTTTACATTTTGTTTCTACATACAAAAAAAAATTATGTAAAGGTTTTTACGTTTTTAAAAACAAGAAAAATGTAATAGACAAAGGCTCATCAATAATAAATACACTTTAAAATATACAAATAAAATTAGTAAATTTGAGTATGACGTCCGTTATTTATAATGCAGAAACTTTTAACTTTGTTTTTAATAAATCATGAACGCTTGACAAAGCTTTTGCAAACGTGTGTCATCACACAACAGTGATTCGAAACTTTCAAATGAGCCCATTGTGTTTTCACTCACGTACTATTTCTAAATCAGCCCATCTAGTACGTCACTTGCACATTTCCTTTTATTTAATTAGACAATAAATATTAAATCGGCATTAAAGAACAAACGAACACATGCGCACAATCGATTAATTAAGATGACACAGTGACCTCAAGCCGGATTAAAGGCCTCATGTTTCCTATCTACCTACTTGGATTTTGTAATCTATGCTTTTTGATGACGATAACGTGAATACTGTAATTTTTATTAAAAATATTATTTAAGCTGTATATAATTGCGGTATCATACTTTATTTTATTTTTATTATATATATTGCCTTGATTTTATCGAAGGAAAATCTTGAACGAAATCTATAAAAAGTATTCAAATAGTTTTATATCATATCAATTACTTATTTTAAGAAATACAATACAACTCAATACAAGATCATAATCGCATAACTTTAATATTTCACATATTTTTAATAAAAATCTGATTGACAGAAATATGTTGACAACGCAATAACGTACACAAATAATAATTATACATATGCAAAGGCGTAACGTGTAAAGCGCATCTTAAAAGCATTGCGCAATAAAAACTTTGAATGAAAACAGTACCTTTGCCTTTGCAATAAAGTAATATTTACGTAATATGTACTTCATATTAAGTGCATTGTCGCATTACTAATTGTAAGAATTGTGACCGTCTAAGTTTACAAAAAACCGAGTTCTCTCGATCAAGAGAGTGGAGTGCACAGCTCGTCACCTCCGACCTATCCTCACATGATGTCAGCCTTCTGCAGTGCTGTACATTGGCAATCATATAAAATGAAGGATTTTACAGTCGTTACTCATTCGTTAGTTTGTGCTCAAGACGAAAACTAAGTAACATGTTCAAATACGTAAGTAGCTAATATTTCTAATAATATATTTTATTTGAACTTTTTTCAAGTTAAGCTACTCTTGTTATTTATTTAAATAAATATATTTTAGTAATTTTTTTTGTTTTTTGAAATCTCTCTAACAATAATAAATTGCGATTGATAATAAATAAAAGCTCGATACCATTGAAATAAGTGAATATTGTATTTTAAAAAATCTTGAACAACAATTGCATCAATACCGGATTGCAAATGCAAGCAAAGAAGTTAAAGCAATCATGCAATAATTTTAAAGTCATTAATTTCTGTATTTAGTTTGCATTTTATAATTCTATTATATCTATTAATTCTATATTACTTAGAGCTTTTTACTCACTAATGAATTAAAATTAAAGTATTAAAATATTCAAGAACATATTATGATTATCACGATTTGCTCGAAAATAATATTGACATCTGACCTTAAAAGTAATACCATAAAATAAGAATATATCTATAATTTATATACATGTATATATATATATATATAATATTTCAAAAAGTGTTGTTACATATCCTGGTACAAAAAAAATGTAGTTTCACACACAACCATTTTTATTTAAAAGTATTTATAAAAATTATCCATAATATGAAATACGGTAGTCTCTTAAATATTTATAAACATTTATTCATTTAAATACATGTAATAATATAATATTAAAAACAATAATCGTTTCAATCGTCATCAACTTTTTAATACTTCGTTAAATGTGTACATTATACAATGTTCCATACTACAACATATGTTATTATTATACATAATATAACTTTATTTACTCCTTACGATATTTATTTAAATAATATGTATATTTTACATAAATTGAAATATACAAAAATTAAATGATTAAAATTTACTCTTTTGACAGCAACTTATAAAATTGCAACATATTGTACCTATGAACTTTTGTTCAGGTGGCTGTTGTATGTTTGATGGCTGCCCTGTGCTCAGGAGCCCCACAACAAAACAATCAAGATGTGCAGATCTTGCGTTTTGACAGCGACGTACAACCTGACGGATACAGTTTTGCGTAAGTAATACATTCTAATTTAGTACTTTAAACGGTGATTCAAGAAAAGAAAAATCTATAATATTTCTTGTTTTTAAATAAAGTTTGTATATAACGATAATTAGTCCTTTATTACATAATGTCTTTAATAAATTTACTATTGGATATCAAAACTAGCTAAACTAACGAGGCATTCGATCTTAGTCCTAAGGGGTGATAACGCATCTGCATTTTGATTCATAAACGATATAACATGTAGACTTCAATGGGCCACAACATAACACGTGTGTGTTCACCCTTATTCTTTAAAAAAAAACGAACTAACAGTCCACCTGACTGTAAGTAACTACTGCATTTCATGGACACATTTAAACGAAGCAACTTTAAACGAAGAAGGTTGCAGATGCGTTGTAGTTACACTCGCTCTGTATACCTATACCTTTAGACCGTTCAGCAGTCCAAGCGCTGTTACCTGACAGCAGAAATACATAGAGTTGCAAAGATTTACCGTGTTAATAATACTGGGTAATAATACTATATACTAAGCTGTACTAACAAACTAATATTATAGTAATAAACAGTTTTTACAGTTTATTAACAGGATTAAAATTGTCAACAAAATATTGATTACGACCTTTACCAATTTCAATGTATTCAGATGCTAATTAATTGCAACTGGAATTACTATGCATAAGTATTACGTCCATCGCATGCATAGTTTATAGAGATATGTGAGTAAAGAATATAATACAAGTGAAAACTTAACATTTCCATCATTATGCAGGCGGAGAACAATAATTTAAAATCTTATAATTTACAAAAATATTCCAGGATTTGTTTAAAAAAAACTAGACACTTTTTGCTTATTTTTATGTTAAGTGCCCCTTTGTAGTATAATTTCATGAAAATGCTTACTACGTGGTAGAGCCATGCTGCAGCGATACTATAGTTGTTGAATGGGTCAACTACACAGAGGAAGGACCACACTCTCGCAGAATACCAGTGTAAAATAGCAGCTCATTGCTGTTGTTTCGTATGGTTAGTGTAGAGAACCGGAGACCCTTTTTACTGGAAACGAGGCTTTCCATCTTAGTCCTCAGGAGTGTTATGGCGAATCTGCATTTTGATTCTTAATCAAGGATTGATAAAGATGTCCATGGGCCACAGTATCCACTTACCATCAGGTGGACTGCGTGCTCGTTTATCACTCTTATTCTATTTTTTTAAAGAGCTCAGTGAACTGATATTCTGATCCTCAAACGAGAGATGATATAAAATATTTCAGAAAAGAGAATAGCTTGGTTTTCAGCAACTTTAGTTACCAACTTTCTTTTGCCCAAGTGACTACAGTTTTAATTTAGATATTATATTTAACTATATTATAATCGTATTTTTATGAAGTTTTATATTTATCATATTTTTTTTTATCATCAGATATGAAACTAGCGACGGCACATCACGACAAGAGGAGGGTAAAATTGACAATCCTCAATCCGAAAATGCTGCTTTGACCGTAACAGGCCAGTACGCCTTCGTTGCTCCGGATGGCAAGCACTACACTGTCACGTTCACCGCTGGTCCAAACGGTTATCAACCCAAGACATCCCTTGGCCAAAAGAAATAGATTTAATACAACATCATTATGGCGATTTTAATCTGATGTATATATCCTAATAGAAAAAATCGCCAGCAACGCAGTTAAACAGTTTTTTGCATATTTTGAAATAACTCGAACACATACAAGCTCTCGATCTCAGTTATTTCTTAATAACATTGAGCGTACAGAATCGAGGATCGTGGTATCTAAATTCTCGTGCCATATATTAACTTTTTGTACTTTTATATTGATGCTTTTATAAATAAACAATATAAAAGTTTAAGTTTTTTTTTTTCATTAAGACCTTAATCACCTTTTCTAGTAAGCTGTAGAACAAGAAGACTCAGAGGAGACAGCTAGATGTTGTCCCAAATGCAAATGGAGTCAAAAAACAAGCCTCTTATGACTGTACTATATTGTCTCATCAGGCACAACAATTATTGTAGATGTTTTTATTTATTTTAGTTAAGCACCATTAGGATTTATGCTTTAAAAATTGTAACAAAGTTATTATAGGAAAACAAAACAAATCAAAACTTACCTTAATAACAGTTGACCATGGCTAGGTAAACATTTACAAATAAATAACTAACTTGCATCACTATATACACGTGCTGTACAAAGATTTGTCAAGAATTCGTTGTCTGAAATACTTTGTCTCACCATTTATTATAACTAGGGTCGTTACGTGAAATAAATATGTATAGGCATAAAAAAAATTGAAAATTGTAAGTGAACGAACGAAACAAACTAAATAAAGTGGACTGGTTCTGATAGTAAATAATTAAGACTTAGAATTTATACAAAATTAAGTTTTTTATATAATTTTTTTTACAATTAAATTGTATATAACAAATAATGAGTAAAAATACTGCCAAAATTGCAGATAATACTGGAGAAGCTCGGTATCTATTATTTTTATATACTCGTATCTAATATGTCATCCGAATTTTTTCATTTACTCTAGTTCACAACTTCTCCATGACAATGCTCACCCTGACCGACACACTGAACAACAAACAATTTCAAACTACAACGGCGTGTAACTGAAAACCCTCCGTCATCCCGCATACATAACATACATAAAAAATTTAAATAAAATCGCCAGATATCCATGATTTCAATTATTTTATTAATTTACGTAATTTTATCCAGGGGAAAAATTTTCAAATCCAACGAGGGAGTCCAAAACGCCTCTAAACAATGAGTTGTTTGTCATCCTCTAAATTCCTATAGCTAAGGCATCAATAACTTAAATTAAAATGGCGAAATTGCATTGGCGAAAGTGCATCTGCGAAAGTGCATCGTATTTAGTTAATTTAATCTATAATTTTCTTGGAAATTTCATTAAAAATGACGAAATAATTTAATTACATAAAAAATAAAGTTACTTAAATTATTTATCTTTTTTTGGTAACATATCGATTTTTTAAATCTAAAATGATACATATTATTTAGACAATGTGTTTTCTTAAATATGGAATCTATTATATTACTATTTACTTGAAAATTACTTGATTTTGAAAAAGTTATTCCAATATTTATAGAATAGAATAGAGCTTACACTTCGAGCTCACGGCTCAACTACAAAAAAATAACAAAAATAATAATATAATTGTATAACAATTGAACTCATGTGTTAATAATAATATCGTCCAGACCGAATTTCTGTGACGACGGCTTGTCTCAACGGAGACTAGCCATCTTGGCAGGATACGATTATAATGAACAAGTGTGTTCTCTGGCATAGGTGCACTTTCTATTGCCTCACACTCATAAACTAATGGAACGGCAATCTGACACGACTGGAGGGAGATCAGGCGCATGACCAACAGCTTCACATTTCCAAGATACGAGAATGAAACACTGTGCCAATTTAACAACAAAAATTCTTGACAGAAATATCCCAAAAACTGATTTTTACCAAACCGGGATTCAAACCTCTTGATCAACAGTCACGTTTACGCCCAGCAGACCTACGATTTAATCAAACTATTAGACAGGGACGACCAGTCCTTGTTGATTATAATCAGACAGAATCACAAATATATTAACTTTATGTTAGATGAACTTTACATTCAAATGACCCCGACTTATACAGTCAAAGATTTTCTAATAAATTTACAATTAAGGTACTCACGAGAATGAACTAAGAATTCATACAACTTAACAAACAGCATTAAATGATAGACATATACAATAGAGTAGATTCAAAATGTAACTAACCATTTTTACAATATTGCCACCGCACAGAAAAAATATTGACCTTAAGCAAACGATATAGCCCAAGGAGTTAGTAAGCAGTAATGACAATGGACCGGCTATATGGCTCGTAGAGTCGGCCGCCTATTGAAGAAAAAAAGGTTTTAGTAAGATGATCGCTCTCTGTATATTTGTGAATAACACACGTGAATGGTTTATTAGTGATTATTAAACATGGATGGTGTAAATATTCTCATAAGTTATTCCAATGTGGATAAATAGTTCTTCTTTTTATTTATACTAAACTCACTAAACGGCGTAAGATAATCTAATACCCCACATCATCTCGTAGGCTTGGTGTGCAAAGGTAATCTATGCCGTAGGCGCCGTAAAAGCCGACACATGGAAATTAACTGAAGCAGCATCTTCAATGATAAAACAATAAATTAAAATATCCCTCTAATTAAAAAAAATAAGATATAATATCATTTCTTGCTACAGAATACAAAAAAAAAACAGATTCTAAATGCAATTACTATCCAATCTAGCTACTCGTAATAACCTAATCCTTAGTATAAAAACATTGTAAGGTTAATGGCTGTCATAAGCAATAAACATTTACTTGAAACATTACATATGTGTACATTAGCCAACACATCTCTGCATCTACTCAAGCTTTTTATGGAAGTTAGGATGACATAGTTTGTCCAATTATAATACAATTGTATTCAGAAAAAAAAGGTAAAACTTTTTTAATTGTTACATTATTTATGACCAGGCTTTTTTTTATAGGATGAGGGTGACAAAAGAGCTCACAGTCCACCTGATGGTAAGTGGTTGCTGCGGCCCATAGACATCTACATATATCCTCTATTACAAATCAAAATGTAGATGCGTTGTCACCCGTGAGGACTAAGATGGAATGCCTCATTTCCTGTAAAAAGGGCCTCCGGCCACCTGCATTCACCAGGCGAAACGCAGAGGTAAACCTCTACTTCACGCTGGTTTTCTGTGAGGCTGACATTTCGCTATCTACAAATATAAATACAATTTTAAAGGGACACACAATATTTGATTTTTAAAGGGGTCGAAATAGATAAGCAATTATTTTTCAGTTTTATTTTCAGTCAAAGGTAAACAATATGATGATGAATTCCTAACCGATCTCAGCCACAATAAAAAAGTTCCAAATACCGATGCAAACAATTTACATAAGAGATATTTTACCACAAGTGTAGAAACTAACACACGTGTGTATGCACGTACTCGCCATTACATGTTTTCGTTAAAATCTATCGTAGTTTTTCATTAATTGTCAAAGCCACGTATGCGATAATATTGTACAATCAGACACATAAATCATCAATGTCTATTTTTGTATTCCGATATTCAAGTCTTCTTACAAGTACGCGGTCGTAAACATACTAAAGCTCGTGTTAGGTCGTAAAAATACTATATCCGAAACCTCTGGAATTGAAATAATTAAAAATATATTAAATAAAACGCGACAAAATTCATAAAAATCACTTAATTTAATGTGTAGTATTAATGTAAATATAAGAAATCATTATACTAACGCTACTAAAATTGAATACACAGGACATCAACGTGAGGCTAAAAGACATTTTCGTTACGGTAGCTTCGATGTTGCAATTAAACAGTCATATTTTGATGCGTTTAATACTTCTCCGTCATAGACTTAGAATATACTTAATCCAGTAGTAGTAAGTCTATGTTCTCCCTAGTGTCATCAAACACTGTGACATTAAGAAGAAGAACATACAGACACACACATATAATTGTACTTCGACCGATAACCTAATATTATCTTATACTATGCACATTTCGCACCATTATTGATAATGTCTTCGTGACTACGGCAACTACTTCCAAGTAATCGGCTGCTTTAAACTCAGAAGCAAATACTATAGAGTCATATAACTTTTACAAGTATATATGTATAGTTATATGGCTCAATAGTCACTCATCTTAATCTTTGTCCGATTTATCGCTGATGCTATAATGGCGGATGCCGTGGTACGTTTAAAAGCCTTATGTATGGGTAGACTTTTAAACTTACCACAGTATTCACTTACCAACAGATAGATTGTGACTTTTATAATAAAAATAAAAAGGCTAGATAGTAGCGTTAGAATCACTGCGGAAACTAACAAAATATGTTTTGCTTCAAAAGTCATCTCGAACAAAAATGGCCACTTTAGTGTTTATCATTAGAGCAGATTAGAAATCCACTACTAAATATATACCTCCCTCATTTTTTTATAAGTGTGACAAAACAAAGTGGCTCATAAATATCTACATTTATCCTCGATGAAGAATCAATATTCAGATGCGTTGCCACCCCCAAGGAATAAGATAGAATGCCTTTCAGTAAAAAAGGGTGCCCGGTCCTCTACACTCACCATACGAAACAGCAGTATTTTACTACTATTATACGCTGGTATTCTATTAGAATGTATTCCTACACCGGTCGAACCGACCTATTCGTGCTACAACCATAATATAGCTACAGCATGTTTCTATCACGTCTAATTCAAACAATTAAGAAGAATAAAATTATTTTACAGATTCAAATCAGGGCTATAATTTTTAACACTGTGTCTTAGCACTGACTTTATTATGTGAAATTATCTTATTTGTTTTAGTTCTTTAATGTCAGCTTTTGCTTTTTAATCAAAGGTTTAATTTTTGGTTAGTTAGGTAGGTAGGTAACCAGTAGTTTTGATATTATACTCGTATTTCATCAGTTTTAGTTCCAATTACAGCCTATCAACGTCCACTAGTCTTCCCCATATACCTTACCT